CTAGTTCCCAAGAAATTGACCCCAGTTGTAAAATAATCAGGTTACTGATAGCACCTGTTCCTAGTTACCCGCCATGGATACAGGCTCGTTTCCACCATTTCCCCTCTGCTCTCCCACTTTCTCCTCCTCCTAGGCTGGGCAGCGGTTGGTGCTAGTTTGCCTGCAGAGGAGGAAGGGCCACAGAACCTGGGTGGAGAGAAACTGAACCTGCCCGTGAATTTTGGACTGCAGATAAGAGCAGGGAGGGTTTGGTCGGTCCCTCTCCTTCTGCCCAGAGTCAGGGCTCCCAGACTGGGGTGTGTCCCAGCGGCTGGCTGGGTGCTGCCCGCCTGCTCCCCACACGTTCTTGAGTTCCCTCTTCAGGAAGGCCGTTGTCGCTGTCACCTTGAGGCCCACAATGGCTCAGGCCCTTTGGTGCCGAATGATGGACTTTTACCAACAGGTGGCAAGGCCGTAGGCTTCAAGGTGTCTGAGGGCAGAGGTAAGAGGAGCGACTGTTTGGTCACTCATGGGGAGCCTGGGGAGAGGGGGCCCAGAAGTACTGGATTGGATCTACTCTTTTATTTTCTAATGAAAACGTCACTGAAGTTTGTTTACAGAAAGAGAGAAATTAGTAGACCAAATTCCCTTGAGCGTCCAGGAGAGAAAAGCAAGAGGTGCCCGACTCGCGACCTCTGGCTGAGCAGGGAGAGTACCCTAGGTCAGTGCAGGGTCCTGAGACCCTGCCACTGCTCCCAAACCTGCGCCCGGCTGCCTCCCGCACCCACCTCCCCCCCCCCACTCAAGCGCACAGCCCGCTCCAGCCGCTGATGGGCTTGCGACCGTGTGTGCTGGTAATTGCCTGTGTAATTAGCCCGCTCCCCAGGCCTTGGCCCTGTGTGAGTGGGTGAAGTTTCAGTCTGCCCTCTGCAGCTGGGGGCTGTGCTGTTGCAGGCAGGTCGCAGAGGGGCTCTGGGCACGCCTCTGTCCCAAGACAGCCCCGACAGTAAAAGTTGTGGCAGCTGTGTAAGTCCGACCGGGACTTACTCGTTTTCTGCTTTTAAGTCAGGTTGACCACACTTGATTTCTCATTAAAAATGGCTGTAGCAGTAGTGTCCAAATGTGAAATAGAACCTCTGCCTTCCGAGCCGGGATTCATGGAGCAGGACCCCGGGGGCCGGGAGAAGACTCCCTGGGGCGAGCTCGGGAGTCCGCAGGTACCGTGGGCGGGGGTCCACAGCCCCTGTCTCTCGGCACTTACGGGCAGGTCCGAATTTCTCACTGGTGTCTCTCCTTAGATAACAAGGTCCTAGAGGAAAGGAGGCTTAGTCATCTATATCCCCAGCACAGCACGAGCCCATAGTAGATGCTCAGTAAATGTGTGTCGCCTGGTTGAAGAGAGCTCATGTGGGAGTGTGTGTAAATACAGCTTCGTCTCCCTTGCGTTTCCTTTGGGTCTCATCCTGAGACACTTTGTCGTTAAGGAATCTGGTTCTCTCAGTGGAAGGGAGGAGGTGTGGTGGCACTGCCAAGTGGGCTCTGGCCTCAGGCTGCCTGCAGCTCACTGGACTAGCTGTGGTGGCTTGGGCGGCCGGGGCAGGTCTCCGAGGGGCAGGTACCAGGTCCTGAGATAGGCCTGACGTGGGTGGCTGCCTTTTTGGGTTTTTTGCTGTTGTTGTTGCTGTTGTTTTTTTATGAAGTGGTTGTGAGGAAATCTCCTAAGACCCTTGCCCCAGAGGCCCTTGTGGGTGGGCACTGGGTGTTCTCCATTATCGGGTGATTGGGAAGTCAATGTGAAATGTAGCTCACCTCTTCCTAATTGGACTTGTCGGGGCGGGGGACGGTTAAGCAATCGGAGTCAGAGAAACCCTAGGCTCTGCGGGGGGTGGCTGGTGGGGCAGCAGGGAGACCGCTGCTCGCTCCCCCCCCCCCCAGCTCCCGGCCACGGGATCCAGGGCTCATCTGGTCTCCGTCCAGCTGTGTGCAGTGGGACTGAGTCCTTACTTGTCAAACTCCGGCCACATCCGCATTCAACACCAGCATCATGCCAGGCACTTCAGCCAGTTCACCGCGTCTCGCAGGCCTCGTGGGGGTCCAGGAAACCGCCAGCCTCGTCCCCACCCTCAGAAGGACTTGCAATTCTCCGGGGAAAGACTGGGCAAAGCCCCACCGCGTGCTGACGCGCCGCAGCTGAGGGGGGTGTGCCTAAGTGCAGGGGCCGTGGGTGCCGGCGGACAGGCGGTGTAAGAACGAGACGCAGACCGAGCCGGAGCCGGTGGGTGAGACGGGTGTGTGCTCAGAACTTGGGTTGTGGAGTGCCACAGTAGGGTGGGTACTCCAGGTGAGGGGGACAGTGGGAGCAGAGACTCGCCGGCAGGAGGGAGGGTGTGTCTGGGCCTTCAGGATCCAACACCTCTGGCTCCGCCACTTGTAAGCTCGTGACCTTGGGCAAGCGCCTTAACCCCTCGGAGCCTCAGTTTCTCATCCGACGATGGGGCTGATAACTACATCTACCTGGTGGGCCTGCAGGGAGGATGAAATGAGAGGGCCAAGGGGAGCACTTGGCACCTGGTGCACTTTGGCGTCTGTGAATGTTTTCAACTTGGTGGAGGGCAGAGTGTGGGCACCCTGAGCGCTGCACCCAGCGGTTCTGCCTTTTCCCTGCTCCGCCGTGAGGACGCTGTGTGTTCAGTGGAACAGTCCGCAAGCCTTTCTCTGGGCTGCAGACAGCCCCGCCCGGGGTGACGGGCCGGGGACACCCCTGTGTGGCTCCGCTGCCCCCAGACTAGCCCCCTGGCCACAGTGGCCTCCTGGCTGCTCCTCAGACACCGCCCCCCGCCCCCCGCACATGCTGGTGCCTGGAAGGCTCCCTGCGTAGACCCCCACATGGCAACTTTCCTCACTTCCCGTGGACTTCTGCTCAGGTGTTTCCTAACCAGCGAGGCCCTCCCCGGCCACCCGACAGCTCAGCCCTGCAGGCCCCTCTCCCACCTCTGGAGCCCTCCTCACCACGGTGGTGATGTGTTTATCTGCTGATTGTCCCTCCCCTGCCCTGCTGGACGGTGAGTGCCAGGAGGGCCAGGACTCTGTCTTATCCACCACACAATTTCCCAGCACCTGGAAAGGTGCTTGGCTCATAGTAGGTGTTCAGTAAGTACTTGCTAACTGAATACATGAAGCGCTTTGAGTAGGTGGTGCTTCCGGATGCTAATAGATTCAGTCTTTTAAATCTCGAGTGTTTCAACAACACCCCAGAGCCAGGAGAGGGCCTTCCTACCTCAGGTCAGGCCCTGAGCACAGCATGCCCTGGGCAGCCAGGAAGGAGCAAGGCGCCCAAGCAAGTATGCCCCAGTTCCTGGCTTCCGGAGCCTGGATGGGCTCTATGCTTCCAAGGGTCCTCGCTCCTGCCAGTCTCCCCTCTCCCTCTTAGGTTTCATCCTGGGGGTACAGGGGACGGTTTTGTTGTCCCTTTGTGCAGAGAGACCCTCTTGAACATGCGTGTCCCCCCGGGGGTGAGAACATAGTCTGGGGGAATGTGAGTGAGCATGTTTTCGTCCGAGGAAGATGGGGCGGATGTGCTTGTGCATACGGAGCAGGGCAGCCTCTGGGAGGGAGGCAGTGTGTGGGCTGGGAGAGGGCACAGGCGGACACATGGTCTCTGTCCCCTGAGGCTCCGGGTATGCCTCGTGGGGACCCCCGAGCTGGGCAGAGCTGGCGCTGTGGCCCAGCTCGCGTGCTCCAGATCCAGCCGCAGAGGGTGCACACTCGCTGCACAGAAGCAGTAAATTCCAGGAAACTCCCTGCCAGCCCAGCGGGGTGGGGGAGGGGTGGAGGATAATCCACACTGCTTCCCTAGCACTTGGAGAACAGATGTGTCTGCCTCAGGGACAGCCTCCGAAGAAAAGTTCCAACCAAAGTGTGTTTGCTCATTATAAAAGAGTTGTCTGTGAGGGGGCCCTGGAGGGGAGGCTTTTTTGGGGGGGGGGCTCTGCCAGAGGTCCTTACTGGGGGCCCCACAGATACCATTGTATCTTGCCAGAGGGGAGAGGGGAGGGGGCGAAGCCAGCTCGGGTGTGGGAGCTGCTGGGTCATCTTTCTTGCATTTTACAGCCAGCTCCCAAACACAGTTGCTTGCAGCTCCTGAAAGAGGCCGGGCCAAGTAGGAGGTGGGGTCCCTTCCCACTGGAGGGCTGGATTGAAGGGGCCCCGCCCTGGGGGTTCCCAGATGACTGGCCAGGGGCTCACTGAAGCCAGCCAGGGGAGAGGAGGCAGGCGTGGTCCTCTCCAGCAGGCCCTCCGGCTGTTTGGAAGGCCCTGGCGGCCCCCCAGGTCCTTGAGCCAAACCCCCTTTTGCGGTCTGATTCGAACCCTCCTCGCCTGCCCCACCCCCTTCCTTCTCTGCACTTCTGGGCCTGGCCTTTTCAGCCCTGGAAGCTGCCCAAGAGCATATCTTTGAAGCCCAGCAAAGGTTAGGAAGGAGGAAGACAGAAATGTCCTCTGGGGTGGGGGAGTGGGAGAAAGGAATTCCATGCATGCTCCACAGGAGCTGGAGTTGGGGCGGCAGGCCTAGTGGGGGCTACGGCTTGGCCTCGCAGCTCACAGGCAGGTCCTGCTACCCCCTTCTGGCCGCCAGGCCCTGTGCACAGTAAGCCCTCTTCTCTAGGCTGTGGGCAGGAAGAGGGGAGCTGTGGCCCTTGTTTACAGCGCTTGCCTCAACCTTGGCTCGCAAGGGTACGAGCCAGGCCCTGCTAGCTGCCCTTACAGGACGCAAGACCTCATAATTGTCTTCAATTACAGACCTCGCCGGCCCTCAGCCCTGGCTTCCGACAGGAACCAGAGCCCGAACCACTTCCATGGGGGGCAAGGGGAGCAACCCAGCCCCTACTGCAAGGTTTGGGGGCTCCAGGTGGCCTTTGGGCACTTCCAAATGCCCACAGGACCCAGGGTTCACCGAAACTGCTGCTTCGGGGCTGTGGAGAGCCTGTGCCTGTTGAACATCCACCTTCTTTGTCCCCGATCAGGATGAAACTTCTGTGAGCAGTGAAGATTTTGATATGAACGACTCCACATGGATGTCAGCTGACCCACACCTGGCCTCCAGCCTGAGTCCCAGCCAGGACGAGAGGATGCGGAGCCCTCAGAACCTCCACAGCCAAGAGGACGGTGAGTGTCCCTTGGTGGCTGGCGGGGGAGGAGCCGCGCCCACTACCAGAGGGGCCATGGAATCTGGGGCTGGGGCCTCTGGGGGTGGCCCAGGTCCAGGCTTCCAACTGCCCCTGGTGTCCTGGGTGTCTCCGCCAGTGCCCCAACCCCTGGTGCCAGGGGGAACAAGTCCTCCGGGAGGGAGATGGATAGAGCCCTCGGGGGCCGGCAGCCCTACGGGGTGTCTTGTCTGTTTGCGCTGATGCTCGTGGGCTGGTGGGGTATGGACGTCGAAGTTACCACAGTTCAGGTCTGGGAAGGTTATTAGCCGGTGTGCCTGACCCAGAACACTCCAGCTGCCCAGCCATGAAAGCAAGAGTTGGGCTTCTGTAGCTCGACATGCAGCTCAACATGAGGCTGTAGGACACGGTCCCTGCCTGTCACCTGTGAGCCAGCAGGCAGTGCACTTGTCCACTGTGTGTCCCCAGCCTCTTAGGATGAGAAGTGGCCCGGCTGAGGAGCTTCCCAAGCGCTGGCTCCCCGCTGCCCTCCAGGACCAGCCAGGCAGCCGCCTCTGGCCTCCCTCAGAACAGACACTTTCTCCTTGGGATGGGAGAGTTGGAGTCCGAAGTCAGATCCCAGGGGTCCACTCTGGAGCGCCTCTGTGGAGCCCCCAGGCGGCTGGGGCTCTGGGGGCACCAGCGCCTGTGTCAGCTACACGCAGTTGTGGGTGTGGGGTGGCACCTGTGGTCATTGTCTCTGGTGGGGCTCTGTCTGGTTTCCAGGGAGGTGATTGGGGGTGGGGGATGAGCCCAGGACTGAGCCTCAGAGATGTGGGGTGTAGAGCCTGCAATTAGGAGGGGTCAAAGTTCGGGGCCTGGAATGCGGGAGGGAAGTGCAGGGTTAAAAAGGGGTGTAATGTTAACTCTGCGAAACGGGTTAGCCTTAAAGAGTAAATAAGGGGTAGGAGACTTGCAGTTTGGGTCAAAGTTCGTCTCCATGGCAGAACCGGCGCCTGCTTTCCGACTGCCCTCACGGTCCTGAATCCGGCTTTGTCTGGGAGGAGACCTAGCCTGGAGGCAGCTGGGGAAGCTGGGCCAGGGGCTGGGGAGCCCAGAGGGTGGTTTTGCCAGGAGTGGGGTACAAGGCTGCTGGGAAAGAAAAGACTTTTGTGCCCTGACACCTCGTGAGGTCAGCACGTTCCCCTCGTGCTGTGAGCCTCCCCACCAGAGCCTCCCAGACCAATACCACCTCCCAGTATTCCCATGGGGTGGGGGCAGCCACATGCTGCTGGGGGCTCCGGGGCTGGAAAGTGCCCAGCAGCTGACCTCCCTTCTCATCTGAGCTGATCGAAGGCCACACCCAAAGGCCCCACCAAGGACCAAGCCAGCAGAGCTCAGCCAAGGGCATAGGCTTATACTTTCCCAAGAAGGATTCAGAACATTTTTTTAAAAAACCTGAGTAGTAGGACTGAGTGGGGGCCATATTCCTTTAACTCATTCTTGAAAAATTCTTCTGTTATTGTTGCTCAGAACCACCCTTTGGGAGTCTGATCTCTGTTGGAGACACTTCCCAGGGAGATTTGGCGCTTTGGGTGGTGGTGGGCGGGGGTCTCCAGGATCAGATAACAGAAAGGAGTGTTTCTGTGGGAGTCACGGCTTCCTCAGCATCAGTTGCCCGGCTGCCTGGGGCTTGGTTGATCGTGAAGATGAAGTGGAGAGAAGCAGAGACCGGTGGGGGGGTGGGTGGTCAGCACATCCTCTGGCTGGTCCTAGGGGAGCCTACCTGGGTGTGATCATGCACAGCCCCCTGCCCCTCCTGTCGCCCCAGGCCCTCCTGGTACAGGGGCTGAGGTGGGCTGGCCTGCCAACAGTACGAGGGTGTTTATCAGGGCGGGCAGCCAGAGCTGGAGACAGGGACGATGGTGTTGACTGGGATACCATCAATTTAATTATTTAATCAGAGGCTGTGTCTGGTGGCTTTGGGCTGATGTGCTGGCCAGAGGCGGACCTAGACCCAGTACAGGGGGTCACAGGCCTTGAGAAGGCCCAGCTGTCCGCCCGGTCTGTGCTGCCCCTTCTGATTCTAGATCTGTTGGGTGACCGCTGTGTTTCTCCAGAGCAGTGGGTTCCCGTAGGGTTTTGGCTGGGTCCAGACCTGGCCCCGAGTCCTCGTCCCGCCCTCCAGCCCCCACGGTGGCATGCAGCCAGCTCCCCTGTCTGAAGGTGCTCACCGTGTAGACACAGGCCGAGATCCTGCTCCCATCAGCTAGTCAATGGGAGACAGTCGGACTACAGGGTGTTCTCATGTCCCCCATTGTTAATGACGGGCTGGGGTGGGGACAGGCCAGGCAAGGGCTCGGGTTGACCCTGTACTCTGAACGCAACCAGCAGCCCTCCGTGGTGGCTTGCTGTGTGGTCTCTGGCTATTAGTCCTCCATGGAACTGGCAAATTGGAAAGATGAGGTCTGAAGCCCTCATTGTGAGTTCTGCAAGGCACAGACCATGTCAGTCTTGCTCTCTGCTCTGTCCCCAGTGACTCCAGCTGCATGCTTGGCACGTTTTAGGGGACTGCTGAATATTTGTTGCCTGAATGAATAAAGAAACAAACATTTATCAAGACCTACCCCCGAGCGCACCATCCAGAGGGGATATAGGTCCACCCCTTGTTGGGGACAAGTTGGGCTCTTTGTTCCTGAGGACATCCCCAATCTGAGCACCTGGGTCTTTTCCCTTAGCCAGAAAGTGTGGGGACCCCCAAGGCTGTGCCAGGGAGCATCCCCCATGCTGGCCAGTCTTGCCGCCCAGAAGCATCTCAGGAAGCCAGGTAGTTTGCACATGATTCACACCTGTTGGTGGATGTGTTGGAGCCCTTCTCTTTCTCCATCCTTCTCCCCCCTCTTCTTCCTCCCCCACCCCCCCAAACCTTTCAAACTGTAACAAATGCAGATGAGGACTGGCAGGCGGGGGAGGTCCCAAGGCTGAGACCAGAAATGCATGCGCACACCCACTGTGCTCCCCGCCCTCCCCCAGCCTGTCTCTGTGGTGCACGGAGCTGGAGTGGGCCTGCCCTGAGATGGGCACGGTATGTTCCCCCCCCCCCCCAGTCCACCACGGCCTGCAAGCATTCACGGCACAGGCCTCTTGTCTGGGTGCTGTTCGGGGCTCCCTGGAATCTCAGCAGACACTGGGTTGGGGGGCACCACGCGCACAACGCTTCCTTCCTGGGGGCTGTAGCTGCCATGGGTGAGCACATCACTCCTGTCCTCACCTCACAAGACGTGGGAGATGAAGAGAATTTGGGTGATCGGACCAAACTCGGGAGGTGGTGCCGAGCCTGCCTTCTTCTTTCCGCCTTGGCCAGTGTCAGCCATGTGTGAAGTTCCCCAGAGCCGGGCAGGGGAGCCTGGGAGCCAGAAGAGTCCCCCCAACGCTCAGAGCGCTGGCTTCTTGGGGCCGGAGTGATCCAGGCTGTTCCTGCTGCCGCCTCTTGCCCATGTGTGGCCAAGTCTTTTCCAAACCCGCTGCTCAGCCCTATCTGAGGCTTTGGGCTTTGAGTCCAAACAGAGCTCTGTGCACTTCGTAGGTGCCTAGAAAAACACTTGGCCCAGGGACTGCCTTCTGGGGGGAGAGAGAAGATACCTGGGAGAAGCCAACTGTTGGGACTTTGTCCAGAGACACTGTAGTCTAGCGTTGATTTGGGACCAAATAGTATGTCCATCTGTCGTTACACCCAGTCATTGGGATGATCTGTGTGATATCCACCTCTCCCCCAGATAGCATAGCACCCTGGAAGCTAGGACCCCAGCACCCGGCACAGTGCCTGGCACAGAGCAGGTTGGGGGGGGGGTGTCTGTTAAATGAATGAGTGAATAGAAACGCGCCCGAGAGCGCACACACACAGGCCAGGTGAGCCGGCAGGCGTCCTGAACTTCACCTACAGGGCTAGGCCAGGGTCTGGGGCTGCAGCTGGCGGAGCCAGGCGAGGGCCCACTCCTTGATTTCCCCTTGATGTGCTCCACTGGCCTCTTGTTCTGCCCCTTCCTGAACGGAAAGTGTGAGGCCTGGCCTCCAGAAGGGATGCGAGGGGGTGGGGAGCGGACATTACTCACCTCCCCGGCAGACAGGAAGCCAGCACCAGCGGAGAGCGGAGGGTCCCGCTTCCCTCTTCCTGCACTGTCGTCTTCCTGCAGGGCCGTGGGGGTGGGGATGGCTGGGCCAGGGCCCTGTGGTGGCCTGGGGCCTTTCAGGGCCTCTGGTTTGTGCCTCTCAGATGAGACCAACCACTCCTCCAGGCCTCTGGGGCCCCCCTCCAACCTCCCCCCTTCCCTCCCTCCAGTGCGGGTGCTAGGGTTTGGAGGAGCCTCCCGTCCGGTGCGCATTACCAGGCGTTGAGGGGCCTTTGGTTCTTTCGGGGCTCTGAATCGGTTTTGTCATGCCAAGGCTGATAAGCCCTGTTCCTGCCTTTGGGGAGTCTGGTGGGAGAGGGAGGGGCGCAAGAACAGGGGATCCCTGTGGGCTCTAAGCTGCCTGAGGGCAGGCATGCCTCTGCAGAAACACATCTTCTGTTTCCCCTGTTTCACAAGTATTATATTTATTGTAGAAAATTTAGGGAAAAAAATGGAGCAAAAAAATCAAAATGACTTGTATTTGAGGCATATTTTTCTCAGTCTTTTCTGTGCACATAATAAAAGTCTTGTTTTCTTAAAAAACAAAAAAAGGGGGATCGTGTCGTGTTGCAGCCCCTTTTTTTCCTCCCAGTGTCATTTGCCTCTCCTGTGAGTGATGTGGCATTTTTTAAAGATTGCCCAGTCATCCCAGTGACTGGAATCCCCATTCCCGAGCCTGCCGAGTGCTTGGAGCTATGACCGAGCCTTTCCTACAGGGAAGGACATGTTCTCTCCTGAGAGGGACCACAACCGACCACAAGGGTCTCTCTGACTCTGGAGCCACGTTTGGGCCATTCATGAGAAGGACATTCAAGTCCCTCTGTTGAGCATCCGTGGGGCCCAGGCCCGGCAC